ATATATATATATATATATATATATATATATATATATATATATATATATATATATATATATATATATATATATATATATATATATATATATATATATATATATATATATATATATATATATATATATATATATATATATATATATATATATATATATATATATATATACACATACCTGTTTATATATAACGTATATTATTATTATTATTATCAAAAAGGCCTGGGCAGAGCCCTTTGCCCCAACTAAAAACAATGACAAAATAAAAGAACGTTTTCAAAAATAAAGGATGTGAAACAATTAAAGACGTATAAGTTATTGTTCAATGTCTACACCAAGCGACCAAACACGAAATTAAAATTTAAGCAATTATTTAATAATTAATCAAGCTGACACAAATTTTTTATCCCCGTAAAAGTCATCTAGTTTAATTTTAAATGTCTTCATAGATGGAGCATCTACAACGTCAACGGGCAGTGCATTCCAAGGATTCACGACACGATTAGAAAAAAAATATTTTCTGCAATCTTTCCTTGCAAGACGAGTCTGTTGGTAATAGACCATAATATAGAATATTGTAAAAATATACGTATATATATATATACGTACATATTATTATTACAGAAAATTTTATATAGCGGCAATTTAAAAGTCTCTCAAAGGTGCCCTCATAAAGTTCATTCAAAAGTTCACAATGGAAAAAATGACTGAAACAGCAGAAATAATAAACACAATTAAATTGAAAACAAGTATGTTTTTAAGCTTTTTTTAAATTTATTAACACTCAATCCCGGTTCCCTCAATGACTTTGGCAGCGCATTCCAAAGAGTTGGCCCAGCAACAGATATGCTTCTCGCTCCTATATTCAATTGTGCCATATCAATGGCCATCAGATTTGGATTATGAGACCTCAAATGAACGCCTTTCAAAACAGTTGATTTTCTGTCAAACTTCTCCATGAAATACTGAGGCAGGCATTCATTTGAGGTTTTGTACATCTGCTTTGTATATATACCGTGATTCATAGTTAAAACAAAAATGATGCAAAGTGTAAAAAAGTACCACATTTACACGGAAGTGACATGAGTTTTGATGTTTCATTTTAAAAAAATTTAAGAATTGCATAAAAATACAACGCGTGTGTGAAATTGGAGTTTAAAAAAGAATTGAAATCTTTTGCAACAACTCACAAAACATTTGTTATTATCTATTTTATAAAGTTCTTCACATCACTATCTAATCTATCGGTATCTATCTTTTTTAGTTTACGAACACCATGTCCGCCCATTAAGTATTAACAGACGTTTTCACGCAAAACAAAACTGCTTTACCTTACGCATGTGGGCACGTTTTATCTTACCAAGTTTACCTGTCATCCCAATGCCACTTACTGGAGCCAAAATTTGGAGTTAATTAGTTCATCTCGTAAGAAATATTCGTGACGAAACTCAAATTCAACGGTAGAAATTGTTTTTATAAATTTCAAATTAATGAACGTTAATACTTTTAATGCGTTCCAATAATGTCATAGTTCTATTTATGAATTAAGGTGGTTAAACTTACCCAGAAAATAAGTGATAACAAAAATGAAATTTGTTATAGTATAACCTACCAAATGAAATTTAATAATATTCAATTAACTTGAAAATGTTAGATTGATCTGTGGAAAGTTATCTTGGTATATAACAATTTTGAATTATTAAATCGTGCTAAAATATTTTCGATTAAAAATTGTAAAAAAAATTGTAAAAAAATGTTTCGGTTATCAGCAAAGTTTAAAGAAAGCAATTTTTGTTACAAAGATGGTCTCAGTACAATAAATGTATGCCTGACAATCGTAAATCAAATGTTTTTGTTGCAGAGAGAGGAGTCCAATTAACGACGACATAAACAGAAAATTGAATGAAACATGCGGAGGTTTTAAGAAGTGTGTACATTTCTGTGTCAAGGGCGTATTGCGTGTGGTGATTTAGAAGTAAAAATGATTCGAATTGAAAAAAGTTTAAAAGTTTTTGCGAAATAATTGGTTATTTTAAGAAAATGATGAATATTTCCATAACCCAAAATGATTTTGGAGATGATTTAGTTAGAACTTTATATATTTTGCACTCTAAAAAATTTATTTTTCATTTAAATCCATCATATTTGTGAAGATAAATGTTTTTACAAATTCACCAATTTGGATTTGTCTGAATTGCAATAATATTTAGTCATTGAAGAAATTAAAAGATATAAAACAGTTTCGCACTGACCTGGTTCGTTTCGGGCCGTTGCTCTGGCCAGATGCCGCTTAGAATAAATAGGCTTTCAAAATACTGCTTTAAAATTTTTTTGACGTTTTTGTAACAAAAGCGCTAAGGATATTTGCGTTCATTGATTCAAATAGTTAATTTTTTTATTATTATATAATTTAGTATTGAATAAATAAACTTTGCAACAGGTGGTGCTATTAAATTTCTATTTGTCAATAACTAAATAACATTTAATATTTATCATTTTACACATCTATTTTTGTTTTTATTAAAGTCAAAAGTACTCAAATTTTTTCAACAAAGAAATAATAGGTTTTACGACATATTTGTCACAATTTGTAAAGGTAGTTCAAAACTGGAGAGTTTTAACATGGATGGTTAGAAAATAAGTTGGCTAGTTAATTTATTCCAAAGAGTAGAATGCCACATCTCAAAAACCGCTGAAAATAATAATAAACTGTTGTGGAAATTTGTCATCTTGTGTTGAACATGATTTTTTTCCATCCTAATATTATAACTTGCTTTGATACATACATGGTGTTCGGAAATGAATGTGAAAGATTTATGCCCATTTACATAAAAGAATCAACCGTTCACTTATTCAGTTTTTGAATGAGACCTTATTAAAAGATTATTTTTTTGATCAACTCTATATTAGTATAACACATCATATGCCGTATTAATAAAACAGAATACAAATCTTATTTCAGAACTACATTGCATCTCAAATATAAACCCAAACAGGAAACGTTTATCTATAAAAACTGAACTGTTGAATTAACCCCTGCGTGAATTTTAAGAATTTTATTGAATTTTAAGAATCAACAGATAAAAAACATAGAAGAACTGCCGTGTAGGAAAAAAAACTCATTAATTAATTAATTAATACCAAATATAAACCCAAACAGGAAACGTTTATCTATAAAAACTTAACTGTTGAATTAACCCCTGCGTGAATTTTAAGAATTTTATTGAATTTTAAGAATCAACAGATAAAAAACATAGAAGAACTGCCGTGTAGGAAAAAAACTCATTAATTAATTAATTAATTAATACCAAATATTTTTTGTTTGATACAAAATTTCAATTCATGCCTAATGTCAACCTAATTGTCTTAAAATCTAATTGTATTGGACACTTACTTTCTGGAGCATTTAATAAAATGAATGATCATTTTAACAAGTTCTTAAGCAAATACGCACGTCCAGTGCACACTGATCATCATTTCGTTTTCAGTTCGTAGCTTATAAATTGAATAGGGAGAGGTTTATTGAAATGCTTAAAACTTTTAAAAATGCGATACTGAATTTGGGTGGTGTCATTCTTGCAATCGATCAGGCAGAAGTTAATTTTTGAAATCGAATGAATGCCAACGGAGAAAAAGTTTCAAGATCGATTCGAAGGTATTTAATAGATAGCAGTCCGAAAATAACCTTAAATTTATTTATATATTGTTTCTTGAAGCTTGAAATATTATATCAGGACCATGATATCAGGACATTAGTTTATGACTTAAGAAATGTCATCACAATAAGTGTTTTTATTTGCCATAACTCTGTTTATTACTGAAGCATAATGTTCAAATTTACCTTTTGTGCCAAAATGAAATAATTTAATCGAAATATGAAAAATTTGAACTGTAAAAAGTAAATAATTAAACAATTTGGTAAGAAAATTTACCTCTAGACGAAACGATGTTAGCAGCGATGAGCAGTAATTTATAAAAAACGAGTCAACAAAAAAAGAACAAAATTTATATTGGAATGAAGTAGGGTAGAGGCAATAATTCTTTATATAGAGAGACTGGTGCATGCACTTCCACACAAAACGGTCGCGCGAGAAACTTAATGTAATTGTGTGTGTATGTGTGTGTGTGTGTGTGTGTGTGTGTGTGTGTGTGTGTTGTAATATTTTAATTAAATTCAGTTTTAAAGCATATTCACACGCCACACTCTTGATCAACAAGCGATATAGAGTATATAGTATATACAGTATAACCAAATCAAATTTAATAAATTTCAATAAGTTTATCATTCCACTTTTTAAAATCATCTTTGTTATTCTATTCCGTTCCTGAAGATTCTGTCCAAAGATGTGGTTGACCAATTAACCAAGAGTCCAATTAACCGGTTTCTACTAACTCCAAATATATTTTTAGTGATAGGAAAAAACGCTTGTTATGCCAACTAACTAACCAACATCGTTTGAGTGGCTGGCGTTTAACATTTCACTATTCTATTTCATTTAAGATTTTGTTTTTAAAACGAACGGTTCTTGAAAAGATAAAAAAATGAAAACACAAGAAACATTTTTGACTATTTACGTCCAGCGATCGTTGCGCTCTGTAATTTTTTTTCATCCATATCTCTATTGACCCGAATCTGTATTATAGCTTGTTAGAGGACTGGAGTATTAAACAATCGAGTGAACAACAATGTCCAATAAATTTTAATTAGACGTCCGGTACATATACATATATGCACAAAAACATATTTTTATACATATATTTTTCACCTTTTTGGAAATCCATCTCTATTATTTTTTAACTTCTCGAACAAGTTTTCTTTTTTTCTTATTTCAGAGTTTTTCAAAGTGTTTTGTAAGAATTTTGTTTATAATTTGATAATTCTAACTGAAAAGTTTTGATAATTCTAACCGAAAAGTTTTGGCTTGTTATGTTCGCTTCCGGTTTTGAGTGTTGTGTAAATGTATCTGGTTTTACCGGTACACTCACAAAAATTGAACAAAAAATTAAGTATGCTCGCCAAACTCTTTGAAAATAAATTTTATCCATAAAATAGTAACAAAAATAGTTTCCAGCTAGATAGATCGATTGCAAATGCAACATAACATTAAGACTCTATTAGATCTTCTGCCAAAATATTCATGATTCGATTTCTTCATTCAACGGCAAGTTAAATAAACATTTCAAATTTTAATTGGGTAGTGTAATGGCAAAAGGAGACTGGTTCTACGTTGCACTGATCGGACCCAATTGAACCCACCTACCTTGGACAAACAGCACACATTACTATTTTCTTTTGTAATTTTAAGATTTAAAAATCAAAATAACTGAATAGAAAACAACAGATTAGAGATTTTTTAAAGTAAGATAATTAAAATAACAATAACGAATTAGTTATTACCTATTTCAGCAAAAAATAGAAATTTAAAAAAAATTAATTGTAAATTTAAATTACATTTAAAAATAAGCAACAATAAATCAAAACTAATTTTAAAACATGCCACAATTAATCTTCGTTTAACCGGATCATGAAGCATTCGGCTTTTTGTGAGTCACAAAGCACGCAAAATGATTAATATGATTGGATATGATTCATTCCGGATCAGAGTTTTGGCGTATTCCTATTCGCAGCCATGCAGACGCACAATTGATTTCCCGCTCAACTAATCGACACATCCGACCTTCCGATAATTTATCATTTCGGCTATTTTTTTTCTAGATTTTATTTAATGCATTGAAACGCTTCTGAAATTTAAAGTTTATTGAAAAAATTTAATCCTATGAAAAAAAAAATGTATAGAAAAGAATTCAACCCTTGATTTATGACATGATAATATTTTATCATTTTTTCAAACTATTCAAAAATGCCAATAAAATCCTACACTGTAG